CATTAATTCCATTGCTGTACATTCCATTCATACATTCCATTGTAGGACTACACCACTATTTGCTTCATTTTTAAGCTATTACAAATAAAGACATCAAAAACATGCTTGTCTGTGCGAAACATATCTTTCTGTGTCTGTCTCTATACATTTCTGTTCAATAAACACCTACAAGTAGAGCTGCTGAGTCAACTGCTGAGTCACATGACATGCATATGCTCAGCTTTAGAAGATAACTGCCAACCAGTTTTCCAAAGTTGTTAAGCCAATATATACTTCCAGTTGTAATGTATAATATGTACTAGTTGCTCAATATCATCACCAGTACTTGCTATTGTCAGGTTTTCTTTCAATGTCACACATTTTGGTGCAGGCACAGCTCATTATAGACTTCACTTTAAACTCCTTGATAACCAAAGATGTTAAGCACATTTTTATGTTAATTGGCTATCTTCTTTGGTAAAGTGCTGTTCAAGAATTTTGCCATATTTTCAATGGGGTTGTCTGTCTTCTAACTTTTTTGTAAATGTTCTTTATACACTCTGGATATGAATTTTTTATACAATACATTGTATTGAAAATGTCTTCTCCTACTCTTACTACTTTTTACTCTCTTAATTGTAAATTTTGATGAAAATTTCTTAATTTTAATGATATCCAATTTATCAATACTCTTCCTTTTTGTCATCAGTGATTTGAGGTCTGTTTACAAAAGCTTTTCCTATCCAAAGTTCTTGTAGATATTCTTCTATGTTGTCTGCTAGAAGCTCCCACTCTACCGAGAATTGATTTTGCACATAGTGTATGGCAGGGTCAAGATTCATATTCTCCATATAGATATCCAATTGGTGTCAGAAATATTTGTTGAAAAGACCATCCTTTTCTCCCAGCAGTTTTACCCTTGTCTTAAATCAGTTGGCCTTTATATGCACATAGTTTCTGAATTCTATTCTATTTCATTGGTTTATTTTTCTGTCCTTGTGTAATACCACATTGTCTTAACACTTAATTCTTTATACTTGACTTTTTGTAATACTACCTTGTCTTAACCATGGCTTTACAATATGTTTGGAAATTCTCCAGTTTTGCTCTACATCGCAGGTTCTCAACCTCGGTACTATTGACATTTGGGGCTGGACATGTCTTCATTGTGGGAGGCTGCCCTGTGCACTGAACTCTCTGTGACTGGTCCCTCAAATCCTGATTGCCTTGGTAGCTCTTGGATGCCTTCACACAGGGTTTTGTTCTGTCCTTTCATAAGTTATTCAGCTTTTATAATTGTCCCACAAAGGAGAGTTGATCTGATAAAAGCTCCTCTTTCATACCTCGGAGCACAAGTTCTAGAACAGATTATTATTAACTTTTTTCCTAAGACAAAGTCTCGCCTAGTGTGGTTCCAGTTGGCTTTGACTTTTCCCAAATCTCACAAGAACACATGCAAATAAAATTAAAAGATGAGCGAAGCATAGAGAAATAATAGAGTCATTTAATCCTGACTCCTTCAATTGTCCGAAAGTCTATAAAATTGATATAATATTGATAAGTACACTTATATATAATGATATACTATATTAGTGTGTTCTACTTAAGAATCTACTGAATTCTTCTTTTGTTCCTTCTAATACCAGTGTTGGTTTACAAAAAGAAATAAATCCCTACAGAGATACTGTACCATAAATTGACTATATTTAGGATTTTGGAGTTTTTTTAAAGATAGACTTTTATTGTTAGCATAATGGATATAGTTTACTGACAAAGTTGATGACAGACAAAGTTTACCATATGATCTATGCTATTATAATTTTTTCTATCTTAAAAGCATTATAGAAACCTGAGATTCAATTTCTGTGCCCAAAAGGAATAAATTAATAGAATTACTAATGTGTTAATGTGTACCTGAAACAGGGCTTTTCTAGTCAAAATAAACAGTCAATTATGAAAGAGGAAATATAATTTTCTCATATTTGAAAGAAAATCTATACACTTATCATGGCTGACCTAAAAAATGGATGGTCTAATGTCATTAATGAGTGATGTAATTTTTACATAGGTTATCATCCTATTCAGATATGGAAAATATCCTTTATCATATATAGAATCAAAAGGTTTTTATGATTATTGCCATAATATCACCTCTTACTAGGCGTTCATATAATTTTTAGACTATCTTTACTGGCCTTTTATGTCTTGCCCAGGGTTGAAATATGCACTATACTCCAAGCATGCCTGCATAGAGTTGGGTGGTTTTGTCCCTACATGAAGTAGCCAAGACATGAAAGGGAACAAAAGCAACAGGGAAATATGTGTCCTCCTCAGGATGGATGAATGTATCCTGCTTTCTCAGGGATTGGATAAAAAAGAGAAGCAGGCACCCTACAAAGACACAAAAGGCTTTGATTCATGTACAATATGATTTTGAGAGCCAGTGTGTCAAATGGTGTCAACAACATTATTTACAAAGGCATTTCTTATTTAAAGTGTACCTGAAGGGCATTTTATATAAGGTTATGAAAGCTTATGATGGCAATATTTTTCAAAGTATCATATGGTCCCAATATTTTCCCTCACATCAAAAAC